GTGGGCTGGATTCACCTCTGTGAAGGACTGTAAAGTTGTTACAGTAGTAGTTTGAAGATGTTAAGATGAGTGGCACTCTGTCGGTCGAACATGAAGGTCAGGTTTGTAAAGCGTCAACTTGACTTATCGTAGATATCTGGCGAAAGGCTTTTTCGGTGACAGATGACTGATGAGGGGTATCCTCTTTGGTGGAAGAAGGATATCATAGTAGATGTTGGTTTTGAAAGCATTCGATTATGGTTTTTCGTTTGTTTTGATTTGTAAAATATTTAATCGTGTACCGTTACTCTCTACATCTATTCGAGATTACACGCGAATTTCAATACAATTAAAAATTATTAGAAACCCATGTAGAAGAGAGCAGTAAAGGTCGAAATATTAGTTTTCTCCAAGCAATGAAGTGTCTCTTAAGCCCATGCCTAATAAATCCGATCAAAATATATCAAAACATACCGTAACGTGTAGTAGGTTTGTATTCAGTGGCAGATCCAGATATTCATTAAAAATAGAGGGGCTTGGGGAGGTTTTCACAGATGGAGGATCTATACCACCTCAGCCCCACCATGGCGGGGGCTGAGGTAAGAACATTTGTGATTATGGCACCTCCAGATGTCTAAAACCCACAGCTGTGAGTAGATCAATTATTATTAATTTAATGACACATTTCATAGTTGCATATTGCAAGTACCCTGTATATTAACATTTCTTTTAAAAGACATAGGCCTACACTTATTTTTGTTATTTATTTATTTGCTACTGAAAACTTGCTAGTAGTCATAATCGACTCAATACAACCTCATATTCCTCAAATGTGCTGGGCTTCAAGAGACCCCCACCAAGGCCTCTGCCCCTGGACCCCGACGGGGGCACTAAGCGGCCCTCTGGCCCCAGCCTAAGGCTGCTCGCTTCGCTCGCAGATTGCGCCCACCCCCTCCCCTTTTTTGGTGGGCTGGATTCACCTCTGTGAAGGACTGTAAAGTTGTTACAGTAGTAGTTTGAAGATGTTAAGATGAGTGGCACTCTGTCGGTCGAACATGAAGGTCAGGTTTGTAAAGCGTCAACTTGACTTATCGTAGATATCTGGCGAAAGGCTTTTTCGGTGACAGATGACTGATGAGGGGTATCCTCTTTGGTGGAAGAAGGATATCATAGTAGATGTTGGTTTTGAAAGCATTCGATTATGGTTTTTCGTTTGTTTTGATTTGTAAAATATTTAATCGTGTACCGTTACTCTCTACATCTATTCGAGATTACACGCGAATTTCAATACAATTAAAAATTATTAGAAACCCATGTAGAAGAGAGCAGTAAAGGTCGAAATATTAGTTTTCTCCAAGCAATGAAGTGTCTCTTAAGCCCATGCCTAATAAATCCGATCAAAATATATCAAAACATACCGTAACGTGTAGTAGGTTTGTATTCAGTGGCAGATCCAGATATTCATTAAAAATAGAGGGGCTTGGGGAGGTTTTCACAGATGGAGGATCTATACCACCTCAGCCCCACCATGGCGGGGGCTGAGGTAAGAACATTTGTGATTATGGCACCTCCAGATGTCCGGAAATTGCACTATCAGTCTTAAAATTTAAATATAATTTTCTTTATATCTCTATTAAAGAAAAAAAAAAATTCTACAATTTAAGTTGTGGGGGGGGGGGGCATTTCCATTGATTGCGAATCAGGGCACGAAGCCTATACCACGTCCGTCCCCATAATGTCAACATGAACTTTTTAAATCAAAATTGTGTCCTTCGCCCATAAAACCTCAGGCCATATCAAACCGAATAACTTAAATAAGAATGCGTGTATAGGCACATTTTACCCAACTGTGTTTTAGTAATGGAATTGGTGTTGTGTATTTTATATTAGCAGCCGATTTAGGTGGCGTTGGTCTCTATGATGTGCTTTGTTGTACGATTTTATGGTTAGGGTCAGGGTTTTTATAATCGGTTCGATGCCTGAAAATAATAGCTTAAATGAACCTTTAAATATAATTCACAACTTAATTACAAGCGGAAACTAGGATTAAAACGTTCCAGGTTTAGAAGTTGGCGACGGTACACAATTCCATGTAAAGTTACCGGTACCGTATATTGTGCCTTTCCAGTTGGATACATCAATAGTATAAAACAGTTACCAAGTTAGCACTATTTGGGGCAAATAATAAATATTTCATCCACTCCTGTGTACTGCATCAGCGTATGCAATATGCTATAGGCCCCTACGCTGGAAAAGACTAAGAGTAGGTGCTTCCAAAATATAATTTATATAATTTGTTAAGGTGAAGAAGAATGTGCGGTTTAAAAAAAAAAAAATTCAAAATAAATTTATTCCAAATCTTTTCAAAGCATAGATAACCAGTACATATATATATAAAAATGGAATTGGAAAGGGCAACCACAAACAAGCAGAGCTTTACAATAGTGGCGCCCGAAAAAAAAAAGTAATTAAGATACTATTTCAAATTGACAAAGTAAGTCAAGGTA